ATGTTTATTGTGACTAGCGTGAATGGGTAAGCTTCGTTTCGACAAAGAGCTGTTATCACTGTAAACAATGTTAAATTATTCTTCACATGCTCAGTTTATTTTTTGAGAACAATTATTTAAAAATAAAATCTCTCAGGCAATCAGAAACTCGGATTCACGCCTTCAGGGAAAGTCACGTTTGGACGCTCACATCGATTTTGTTTTTCGTTCGGCGGGCTGATGCTTTCAGTGTAGCTTTTGCCTCTTCCGACATAGAAATCATCTGAATCTTCTTTCTACCTCTCTTTCTTTTCACACCACGCATAATGTAATGATACAAATTAGGAAAAAACGCTGAGGAAATATAATGTTTGGTTTGCTAGCGAGCGATAACTGATTCGAGAATAATTGCACATGCGTGTGAATTGAATGAACTATGACCCGTACAATCTCGATATGCATATTGTCAATCAAAGGTCCTGTTATTTGCTTACTCATGCAAATTAGGCAATTGGACATAAACATTGCCACGTGTGAGTGTTTTTTATTTTTAACCAGAAAATAAACAGCAATTTTAATGGTGTTCCAATAAGAATTCATTGGTCAAATTTTCACAGAATGTTCTTTAGATAAAAATCTATATAAAAAACGAAAAAAAATATCTTTGATTGAAATTCACAAATAAACTGCATCTCTACCTTAATTGCGGTTTTTTACTACTCCATTGCCGATGACACTAATTACCAAGAATTAAAAAAAACAAGTGAAATTAAGTCACATTGGGAAAAAAACGTAAATAAATCAAAGCAAAAATTATTCAACTACAGACGAGAGAGCCGAAGAAAAAACAAACCCTGACCTCTAGAAATACCTCATTCATCGAGTGCCTCATTACCGAGGAACGCCACTGAATCGACGTAAACGCATGGTGTGACATCACGACCAATGCATGCTGGGTTACAAGGGGGATTCTGATCGAGGTAACAAAGATGGCGGCGCAAAGTGCATGTTTTTCTGCGATGTTTAAAAACAACATCTCATTGGCGATTTTGATGCAATTTCTAAGATAATCGTCAATGAATCATTTTAATTAACAAAACATTCTGAATTTGTGTAATTTTAAATCAAAAAGTCAGGGACCGATGATCGCAACAGCAGCAGAGAATACCTGTGGTGATCGTAGCGTTACACATAAGGTATAGATAGATCAATGGAAAATCGCTGGCATGAGTTTTGAAATGCCGTTGTAGAAAATAAATTTCATTATTGATTTATTAATTTCTAAGTCATATTTTGATAACCCGCAATCTGGCAGACTTTACAAATTTTACCCAAAAATGTTTTCCCCACGTCATATGAACTGACAGTGACATGGGCATTAAAACTGACTGTACTTGTTGTACACAAAATAATGATGAACCAGTTACCTCCATGGATAACAATATGTTCATAACAATACATTTTTAGCTCCGCTGTCGACTTTGTCAAGCAGAGCTTATCATATGAGTGATTGTCCGTCGTCGTCGTCCGTGTCAATGTTTTACTTTTTCGACTTCTTCTTGAAAACTACAAGCCTGAATGCTTTGATACTTGGTGTATATGTACCTTGGGTAGACCTCTCTTAGTTTTGTTCATTTCATGTTGATATCTTCAATTCTCTAATTTTGGTGAATACTTTTGTTATTTTTTGTAAAAAGTGATATTTTCGACTTCTTGTTAAAAACCGCAAGTCCAATTGCTTTGATATTACATATATAGGTACTACATGTGGACCTCTCTCAGATTTGTTCATTTTGTAATGATATCTTTAATTCTCTAATTTTGGTGAATATTTTTGTCATTTTTGGTAAAAAGTGATATTTTCGACTTCTTGTTAAAAACCGCAAGTGCAATTGCTTTGATATTACATATATCTGTACTACATGTGGACCTC